ATATTACACACATAAAATTTTGAATCCTGCTTTTTATATAACATGAGTATTTTTACATGCTAATTGAAAACTTCCATCATAGGTTATACTGTAATGTATTTTACTATTAAAATAGTAGTGATCATTTAAATCCTTTCTAGGCATTTACTATTATAAGTAATGTCTTTAATGTCTTTGGACATAAACCTTTTACATTTCCTATTTTTCTTTGTACAGATTCCTAGAAGAGGAATTACTGGGTCAAAGCTTATGAACCTTGTTCTCCATTGCTTTAAAACTTTTGATACTTATTGCTAAATTGATTTCCAGTAGAGCTTTACCATATAAAAGATTTCTATCATCTGTGTGAGAATTGCCTCTTTTATTGTACCTTTGTCAGTTTTTTAAAAAATAATCTATTCTAAGGTTGTAAGGGAAATATTAACTTTTTTAAAACTTGAATTTAGAAATTTCATATTAAGTGAATGTTTCTTCATGCATTACTGTTTTTCTTATAGAATGCTTGATTTTTATTGGTCTTTATTAATATTCTTCAATAAATGTGTAGCAGTTGGTGACTGAGCCTAGTATATCTTTGCAACTTACACAATCAAAGATAAAAGCTGAAGCAGTAACTACATAATAAGTTAACAAGAAATTGTTGTATTTCCAGATCCATATTACCTTCACTGCTCTGAATCTTAGGCAGATTCGTAGATCCTCAAACATTGAGTTTAGATGAAAAGTGGAACAAAGATGGAACAAAACCACAAATAGCTGATTAGGATTTAATAGAATTTAGAGACTGTTTTAAGGCTTTAAATAGTTCTAGCTCTTCCAGTTGTAATTTGGTACGTACATACTTTGAGTCAGTTAAAGCCTAGAGTTTATGTTCCATTGTTTAGCTAATTTAGCACATGCAAAGTACAACTATAACATTCCAAGTGTATTTCACTAATTCTACGAGCAATTCACAAATAGGCATGCTACCTCAATGATAGCAGAACGTTCCATGTCACATCATTGGTAAGATAATGTACAGTTTTCTGTCCATACCATTTGTTTAAATAGTGTCTCGTAATGTAAACTGAATCTTAATACACGTATTTCTTTTTCCAGAAGGCTGCATATAATCATATTTAGTGTTGAAATGTAAGCAAAGCGAATAGTTAATAATAATATTACTTAAACCTCTTGAGTCTCTACAATCTCAGACTCCCCCACTATTAAATGCTTACAAATAATGGTTTCCTTTGATACTGATCTTCTGAGATTCTATATATACAAATGAAACATTGGAAATGAAGGTTGTTAAAAGTGAACACTAACCAGTGATAATAGTATGTCCTGGTTTAAAATTGTTATCCTGGAAAAATTGTGACAACTCGCCTTTTCAGTCTTAAACTCTCATTCAGTCATTCATGTGATTACTTTTTTAAAAGATTCCCAGCAAATTGCCTTAACACTGAAACTTTCCATGGACATGAGTGTTCTACTTTTCTCATTTGATAAAATTATTCCTTGAGCTTCATAAATGATCCTTACTCTTAGTTCCTTCTGTTTAAGTTTTGGTGCTGTTCCTAACAATGAGTTACAATGTAAATATTTCTAGAATTTGTGGTGCTGTTGATCACTTAATAGGTAAGCAGGTATTTTAGAAAGATAAAAATTTAAATTAACGCAAATTAGTGAATTAGGAGTTAATAGTTTTATGAGAATAGGGATGGTATCATTTGCATTCTTAAGCAACTATGATGGACAATTTGAGCCCTCAGTTCTGTTTATCACAGAACAAACATGGCCTAACAAATATACCTATAATTATTCCTCATTTAAAAAACTTGTTTCCTAGGTATTGCCTTTTCATGAGCTGTAACTGGACTCTGTTTTGTCATTTGGATGTGATTTAAAGATATGCCCAGAAATGTTTTTGTAGTTCTTTCAAGTGAAAAAAATCAAGTGACGGGCAAAAAATCAATTTTATGCAATCAGATTACCTGTCTTCATTAAAAAGTGATATTTTTGTTCTAATTTTTTTAAAGACACTAAACATCAAATGAAATTACAAAAAAATAAAACAAAAAACTCACTGCCATAGAAGTAATTCCAACTCACAGCAACCCATTAGCAGAGTAGAACTGCTTTTCTGGCTTTCCAAGACTGTAGATCTTTTCTGCATCAGGAAACCTCTTTTTTTTTTTTTCATTTGGAGCAGCTGGTGGTTTTGAGCCCTTCTTCACTTTGAGGACAGGGTATGCACAACCCACTACTCCACCAAGGCTCCCTGCGTGAAATTACTTTGAAAGCAAATGAAGTTAATGGATATTATCTGTGTTGTGCTTTTAGCTCATTCTTCATTCCCAATAATTTGACCATTATCTCAACAACCAGCATATGAGTATGGAAAATAGTCTTGCACTTACTCCTTTCCTTTTCACTTACATGCCAATATGAGGTAAAGTTAGTTGCTAATGTTTTATTCATAGCAATCCTTACCACTTTCAATTTGGAATGAAGATCAAGAAGTATATTGGTATATTGTTAACTTCCAAAATGTTGATTATGATGTCTATGTGCAACCTTTTTAATCCATAGCAAAACATTTCCTTGACAAAACATAATTCTTGTTACTGTTAATTTCAGTATGACTTTTCTAATACCGTAACACACAAAATAAACTTTCAGTCCAGCAGGCCAACTGTACTACCAGGGCTCCTAATCACTGCAGAGGGGATGGATGGTTAAATAAATGATAGTACATTCAGTCTATGGAACATTTTGAATAATGAGGCTGCCTTTAGTGATGTCTACGAGAAAGTAAATGCCAAAAAAGAGTTTTGGCATGCCCTGATGTTTGTTATATGTTTACATGTACAAAGATTATTTTATAAAATATCTATAAGAAATTGGCTGCGTCTGATGAGGTTGACTTCTCAATGTATATCTCATATTACCAAAATCACACTCAAACGCTAATCAAGTTAATGCCAACTCATAGCGAATCCTGTAGGATAGGGTAGAACTCACCCTCTAAGTTTCCTCCAGACTAAAAGTCTTTATGGGAGAAGAAAGCCCTGTTTTTTTGTCCCACTCATATTACTATTGCCGAGGAGTAAAACTGAGCAAAAAACCTTACATTATAAAAAAATTATTAAGTGGAAATTGAAACTACTGTATCATGGGTAATTTGGTGATAAAGCGCCGAATCATTAACTACTGTTTGCACTGTATAAAGACCAGTATCTAATTTATATACCATATCATGAGGTTTTAATACCAGCATGAAATAATTAGCACTTCCACAATGTAGGCTTTGTGATTAGATAAAAGAAAATCATCAAAAGCTCATTCAGCTTTCTCTAAGAGTTTTGGTTTAACTTTGTGATGTTTCTTTCATTTTTACATCTTGTGATTATTTTTGCCAAGAAGAGAATATTAACAATATTAATATAAATACAGGGGAACTTCAAAATGTTAGTGGAAAGTGGAATTAAAAGATCAGGAAACCCCCTCATATTAACAACAAAAAAATACATAAATGAGCTGCTGAAAAGAATTATACCTAGGTGGACTATTAACAGACTACTGACTAGTGTTATACTTTTACTATTGGTGTGCCTTGTAGAATGTAATGATTATTAGAATTCTGTCAAGATTATAATTAATCATACATTTCAAGTATATTCAATAAATAAGGGCAAACTTAGTTCATTACTTATTTTCTCTGAAAGCATTAAGTTGAAACCAGGCTACTTGACCAACTAACATCCATTATTCAACAGAAATGACATGGTTTTATAATCAGGCATTCAGAAATACTGTAATCAGTGATTCTGGAGCCTCTTAGTCCATACAGTAATGGGTCTTCAGTAGGTATGCACAAGCATAGTACTATAAAGCAACGAAGATTTGAGACTTGCTCCAGAATCTCATGCTGTGTTTTATATATATAGATACATATATATATATATAATAAAAATCTGCAGTTATGATTTATTTATTTTATTTTTAAAACTTTATATTGTGAATTGGGTAAAGAGTTGAAGAACAGATCACTTTTTTGTTCAAAAGTTGGTGCAATTTTGTTTCATCTCATTGCTTGAAATGCCCACAATGTAACATCATTTCTCTAAGCTTCCTGTTTGCATTCCCCCTTCATACCTAACCCATCTGAACTTTGTCCTCTGGTAAATGCTGCCCTTTTGATCTTAAATGGTTGATTATTTTAAGGTGAACTTAGCTCACTAGTGTTGTTCCCCTTTTATACCTGTTATTTTGCTGGAAATTGAGCCATGGGGACGAGTTCGTTTCCAGATCTGAAAAGCGATTAAGGACCATAGTCATAGTGGGCAGGTAGGGAGTGGGGCACCACTAGTTTCTTTACTGTCCTTAAGCTGATCTTTCATGGGTGACTTTTGATGTATGTTCTTGTATAAAAACTGCCCTGTGGAAATTCTATTTAATTTAGTACTGTGTTCATTCTCTTTCAAAAGAGTTTCAGACATTTTTAATGGGAACATGGAATATTAAAAGCCTAAATATTTAGCCATTTGCAGTGATTTTCATCAGGCCAAATACTAGGGAATATATTTTAATGTCAATTATTTGGGTGAACAAATGACATTTAATGGTATATTGTTCACCTTTCATTGTGAGGGTCTGTCTTTCACACATGGAATTACCCCATATTATTTAGATATCTTTTCAGACTAAATTCACCAAATAAGGAGCATCAAAACATTAAAGGAAAAAATTCCATTAACTTGCAATTCCATTTGTCCGTGAACTTTTTGAAGCCCTCTCATATAAATCAGTAATACTTTAGAATGTAATACTAAAACACCTTGTTCTTTAAGACTTGATTACTTTAAAATTTCATTAATGGCATATTATAAATTTACTTCCATCTCTGTAAAACATAAACTCATTCAGTTGTAAATTGGAATAAAAATAATAAGGAGCCAGCTTCTGAGAAAGTATGTCTTTCAAATTCATAATTGCTTTTGATTTTTTTCTTCTAGAAGGGAGACAAATTCAGTATGCAAAGATTTCCCAGATTGTTAAAGAAACATTTAATCAACTAATTTCTAATCATTCAGAATATCTGAAATGTAGTAATTCATTGGCTGCTTTTATAATTGAAAGAGGTAAGTCCAAATATTTGGAATGTCGTATTTTGTAGAAAAACCATTATCTTAATTACAGTAATATTTTACTTTCTTTGTTCCTGTTGACATGTTCTGCATTGATTTGAAGTGGCTTTTTTAAAAAGAAAGTGTGAGTCATTAAATACAAAAATTCTCAACATTACCAAAAGTTGAGGTAAAGTATACTAAGAACAATAGATAACTTCAGAAAGGTAACAATTCTGAAGAATTTAAACCATTACTCTTTGTAAACTACTACCATCCTGAAATATCATTATAAACATTGAGAAGGAGGAAGTAAAAATTATCATATTTTCAAAAAAATGTTTTAATGATCATATTTTCTTAATTTCAAGAAAGCTAAAATTAGAATGTGGATAATCATAAACCTCTAGGTTTGGGGGTAGATATTAGGATGTTGCAAAGTACATTTTTATCCTTTATTTACTATATTATTCTGGGTTTATAGCTAAGTCTTTAAGTAGCTGCTTTAGGTTCATTGCTGAATTGGATAAGGATGATGTGAAATCACATTGAGATTTGGTTGATGTTTTTTGAATACATTTTTTTATTGTAAATTAGGTGGAGTTTACATTTAGATCATCAACTTGGTATTCTATAGTTTATTACTAATCAAACCCCTCACCTGCTCCTAACTTACCCTTTACCTGCTTCTAATTCTTATGATGTAAGTGGGGAGAGAAAATATATTTAATAATCTAAGCTGATGAAAGTTAAACGTTGTTTTCTGTACTTCAAAATGTGGGAATTAATAGAAGATAACTGAAGACATTAGACAAGGTGAAAGACGTAAAATGAAACTTTAAAGATTGATGAGGTTTGGATAAAGAAAAAGGAGACCTTCTGTAATGAGAAAACGCATGGAAGGAAAGAAACAGTGGAAAAGACTGGGACAAGGACATACGCTGAACTGCTAGTGCAGAAGAGTAATAGGAAACACAAGGAACCCTGGTCACATAATGGTTAAAGAACTCAACTGCTAACCAAAATGTTGGTGGTTCAAACCCCCCAGCTGATCCATGAGAAAAAGATGGAGCAGTCTTCTTTAAGCTTACATCCTTGGAAACCTTATGGGTCAGTTCTACTATGTCCTATAGAGTCACTATGAGTCAGTATCAAATGGTTGACCGGTTTTTAATAGGAAATACAAGGGTGAATAAAATACTATGGAATCACTTCAAGCTCATGTAGAAGAATAGCATATCCATATATACAGGAAAGCGAGAAGTTGGTGTGATCTTAGATACAAAGGGAGTATAATCTATATTCAGAAAATAGAAGTATGCCTATGGGATGAGTAAAACGAACATTCCTAGAGTAATACACAAAGTCCATATATCCTTAAAGGGTATTAACATCAGTCTCAAATAGGTATCCTCAGAGTCCAGCTAACATACACGCCAGTAGGTTTAGTCACATATTCTTGTGATTGCTAAATCATCCTTTTAAACTTTTCTTAAAAAATGAGAACATTATGCTTATAGAAAATTAGAACCTATCTCATAACCTCATCCTTCCTCTCAACCTTACTCCACAATTTTTAATTAGGTCTACAAAATTGTAACATTTCTTTTATTCCCAGCCACCAGATCTATATACTTTGATGCATTAGTATCAGCTGTCTTACTGTTCAAAAGGTGAAAGTCTTGTAAAACATTCTCTTAAGTGCTAATTTCATTCCCTGTTACATCTTGATGAATTTTGTCATTTGGTTATAGCCTCTTTCTCATTGCATTACAGAACTCTTATCTTTCTGCTGCTCTCTAGATCAAGCTGTTCTTGACTACATCATTACCTTTATAACCTAGAGTTTGTATCACTGTTAAAAGAGATTACACCAACACTATGCAACTCTATATAAGGGAAGATTTATAAACATTTAGTTCTTGAATCAAGTCCAGCATTTATAGGGCCACATTCTGATTTCGACAAAAGCAGAGTCAGTGCTAAGGTGTCCCTGAATACTATTTGCTTTCATTTCCAATACTTAAGGACACCTGGCTTCTCAAACTTTCAACATAAAACCAAGTAAAGAACTCCTCCTTTAAACCCATGCTTCCACTCTTCAGACCAATAGCATTCTTTATTTGACTTTATAACCACACTTCATTACAAGAAAGCTTTTTTATATTCAGTTGTGCTCACTCTTAATTACAGGTTAGCTTCCTACTACTATCTTCCCACTACTTTCTTCAGCCTGGTGTTGCAGTAGTATAAGCACTGTACTACTAACCACAAGTCTGGAATTGAAACCCACAGCATCTCCTTTGGAGAAACCTGAGGCTCTCTGCTCCCATAAAGGTTGATAGTCTTGGCAACCTTACATAGGGTTCCTGTATCGAATGAGAATCAACCTCGATAGCTGCTGGCTTTGGCTTATTACTGTCTAGTTTTCTAAAGCTACCATAACAAATACCACAAGTGTTATCAGGTTTTTTTGCATTGTTTTGACTCATTTCCACCCTATGTTCAATAAAACAAAACACCACTTAGTTCTGCATTATCATTATTATTACATTTGAGCCCATTTTTGCAGCCACTCATAAAGGGCTTTACTCTCTTTCTGCCCTCTACCAAGCGTAATGTTCTCCTGGGACTGATGGTCTCCTGAAAATATGCCTGAAGTACATGAGACAACGTGTCTCGCCATACCTTCCTTGAAGGAGCATTCTGGTTGTATTTCTTCCAAGACAGTTCTGTTCATCCTTTTGGTATTCCATGGTACTTTTCAGTATTCTTTACCAGTACCATAATTCAAATACATCATTTATTCTTCAGTCTTCCTTATTCTGTGTCCAACTTTCACATGCATTTGATGTGCTTGAAAATTTGTGGCTCGAAACTAAGATTCAGGTTTTCAGAAGGCCATGGATGACAGTAGGAACCCAAGATACGTATGTGAGATCTACATAGGAAATTAGCCTCGAGTGGTTTCCCTCTATAATAGAGGGGTGGGAAGAAACTGGTTACAAAACAAGTACATTGGAAATATGACTAAAGAAAATCAAAAAGAAAACTCTAACTACCTAACTTGAATGGTTAAAACCTTTGTCAGTTAACCCCACCTCTGTTGCATGTTCGACCTGATCTGGTTTTCAGTATTTTCTGTATTTGTTTTTTGATTGTTCACATTGGGTTTAGCTCAGATTTTGTATTTCGTCATTGGGAGTTGATCCTCTTGAATTTTTATTACATGTTTTTCAGTATATAAAACCCAGGATTGATGAACCTATAGAGAGAGCAAGTAGAAGTAGGGCTTCTAGTGGTGGTGGCGGGGAGGGGGAAGTGAGGGTAAAAAGGGAGCTGATGCCAAGGACTTAAAGAAGGAAGAGAATGTTTTGTAACTGGAATGGTAGCAATGGTACAATACTGCTTGATGTGATTGGACTATGAAATGATATATCTGTATTAGTGTTTAATAAAATGGTTTTGGGGGGGAAATTAAAAAACAATAAAAACACTCATATCTCACCCCCAAAAGAAAGTACCATGGCTTGAATCAGTTGCACCTTATTCTTTAAAGTAATCTGTATGCTTTCAGTCTCCGAAAGATGTCCTGTGCAGCAGATTTACCTAATGTAACACATATTTTGATCTGTTGACTGCTATTTCCTTGAGTGTGGATTGTGGATCCAAGCAAGACAAAATCCTTGATAACTTCACTGTTCCTCCATTTATCACAATGTTACCTACTGTTCTGGTTTTGAGGATTTTGGTCTTTTATTGAGGTGTTAATGCATACTGAAGGCAATCCTTGTTCTTCATCAGCAAGTGCCTTACATTTTCCTGGTTTTCAGCAATCAGGGATTGTCATCAGCTTTCCAATCCCAATGTGGCATTCTTCATATGCTCCAGTTTCTCAGATTATTAGCTTGGCACTTGGATTGAATAAGTATGGTGAGAGATACAGCCCTGATGTATTCCTGATTTTAAACCATGTGATATTCCTTTGTTCTTTGTTCACACAGTTGCCTCTGATTCCACATACAAGTTCCTCATGAGCACAATGAAGAATTCTGGAATTCACATTTTTTTCTTTCTTTTGAATCATTTTTTAAATCATTTAAATCCATACACCCATCTTTTGTGTCAAGCACATTTGTACAATTGTTGCCATCATCATTTTCAAAACATTTTCTTTCTACTTGAACTTTTGGTATCAGCTCCTCAGTTTGTTTCCTTCCCTCCCCACATGCCCTCCCTCGTGAACCCTTGATGATTTATAAATTATTTTTCATGTCTTACACTGACCGATCTCTCCCTTCATCCACTTTTCTGTTTTCCTTTCCCCTGGGAGGGGCTTATAGATCATTGTTATCGGTTCCCCCTATCTCCCCCCACCTTCCCCTCACCCTTCTGGTATGGCTATTCTCAACATTGGTCCTGAGGGGTTTATCTGTCCTGGATTCCCTATGTTTCCAGCTCTTATCTGTACCTGTGTACATGCTCTGGTCTAGTCAGATTTGTAAGGTAGAATTGGGGTCATGATAGTTGGTGGGGAGAAAGCATTAAAGAACTAGAGGAAAGTTGTATGTTTCATCAGTGCTGTACTGTACCCTGGCTGGCTCATCTTCTCCCTGAGACCCTTCTGTAAGGTTATGTCCAGGTGCCTACAGATGGGCTTTGGGCCTCCACTCAGTACTGCCCCCTCATTCACAATGTTTTTTTGTTCTGGGTCTTTGATACCTGGTCCTGTTGACACGTTGTGATATCACAGACTGGTGTGCTGCTTCCATATGGGTTCTGCTGCTTCTCAGATGTCTGCTTCTTTATCTTCAAGCCTTTAAGACCCCAGACACTATATCTTTTGATAACTGGGCACCATCAGCTTTCTTCACCACATTTGCTTATGTACCCGCTTTTACCTTCAGTGATCATGTCAGGAAGGTGAGCATCATGGAATGCCAGGTTAATAGAACAAAGTGTTCCTGCGTTGAGGGAGTACTTGAGTACAGGCCCAATGTCCATCTGCTACCTTA